AGATTTCGTCGATCGAGTACGCGACGCGGTAGAGGTTATGTTCGACGACTCGACGGCGTGGTTTAACCGAGCTTCGTTTCGTCGATAAAGCAGAACACTGTCACACTCGTATACCCTACGCCATAATTTCGGAGGGTTGCACTCGTGGATCCTACGTGATAATTCACACGCGAATTTCGTATTCGATGCACGGAAGAGTATCAGGATGCAATTTATCGCGACGGAGTATCGTCGTTCGCGACACGAACATTCGAACATTCTTATGCCTCGAGAACTAAGAAACAAATTATTCCGGAATAATTGCGAGCTTCGATTAGCCTTACGATATTGCTTTTTGTCGGATCGAAGGAATAAGATTATCGTAAATTAACATCGACTCACCGAACGACGCAATTGCGTTGCTGCTTCGCCATCTCTGCCAATCTCTCGTCTCTTTTCCAGATGGCAACACGAAAATGGGAGGCGCACACTTGACCGAGGAAGGTGAGTCCAAACACCCACGCACTTATTCACTTTTGTCCCGACACTCGAGCGATTTGGAAAAAACGCGAATATTGCGTCACCGTCACGCGTCTCCTGGCCACGCGGTCGGCTCGAAGGAAGAAAGATGGCGTCGCTATTAGACAATCGCGTGGCGTCTCCTTCCCCACCTCTGATTGGTTCCGCGGTGACGATCGCGGCGACGCGCGAAAATCGAAATAAAATAACGCGAGTAGGCGCAAGGCGCGACCAGCCACGAAGAAAACGCGCCTAACTCGTCGCGCGACATTCTTAGATGGATTCTTCACGGCTTGTGAGCGCCGTTTATATCCACCGTGGAGCACGGTTCGCGATCAGATACCATTCAAATCGGTCGTCCCGTGTCGAGAAAATAGAACACCACGATCGTATGCTGAGCACCGCTTTTAGAACGATATTCATCGATTCAGGTATATTAATGCGCCGTCGCGAACCGTCACGATTCGGTTTAAACGGTTACACGCTTGTCGATAAATCGAAATGGCAGAGAAATAATTCGAATAATTCTAAATTCGAGATTAAGAAAGAAATAACCGATCGATGTTTTCGGTCGTAACAAATTAATCCGCAAGAAAATTAGATAAACGACTCGAAGAATTTTGTGGAGGAATTGTAGGGGTTAGAAATTAATTCGGAAGAAAATTAAAGAAGGAAACGGAAGAATTCGTTTACCGATTTTTCCATTAATTTTCGACTTATCGCCTGATCTTCGATCCCCCTGACAATCCAAGCTCGAATACCTTCTGTCATTCTTGCCCAATTTACCATCCACCTTCTCGACTTTTCCAGTCACTTCCTGTCCCTTCGATAATCGTTTCCCGCGGCTGCAACCCGAGGAAAAATGTCCCTTTATCCCCCTCGTCGTTCCTCCGCCATCCCTTCGCTATTTACCGAACAAGTTTTCCGCGCGAATGCCAAAGGTTCGCGTCCCCTCCGCGTATTTACTTTTAATTACGCGACCGGTTAATTATTGACGCTCCACAGGACGATCGTCGAAGGGCCGAATCGCGGTCCAAACAGTCGCAACAATGAGGTGGCTGCTGGTAGTCAAGGGTGGCCCACTGGTCCGTATAGATTCAGACAGCCCCCGTTAACTGGACGATTCTATCGACCGAGCCACATCAAAGTTGCACGCGATACTGTTCGACCTAGGCACAGCTTTGTCTCTCTT